CCCAAATGGCTGACTACCAATATTCCCAGACATGTGTTGGCTGGGTTGGTTCCCAAGAGCGTGGAGGCCTATGACAAGCTTGATAAGGTGGTGGTTTTTTTTTCTCCTAAAAAATCTACTGCTTGTCAACTTGTGATCTTTGGATTTTTATAATTGTCTCACTTAGTAGTTTGGTTGACTCTAACGATTTCATAAGTTTGAGGATGTAATTACAAGTTTACGACAACTCTGTAGTTTAGGAGTGATTTGGGATTTGGGTGGTTTGCACATTTTCTATTTAAGTTGCAATTAGGGAGTTTTTCTTCTTCTTTTTTTTTAATAAATTCCTTTTGTTGGGAAACTGAGATTTCATTGAGAAAAATGAGAGGAAAAAGGGCTCTAATCCAATAGAATAAGACCGTGAGGAAAATTACAGAGGTCCTTAGAAACCAACAGCCAAAGAGAGACATTAAAGCTGCAATTACTAGAGTTATAAGCATAGAGTTTAATAGCAATGACTTCATAAGTTTAGGAAGGCTCTGTCTTGCTCAAATTAACTGTTTCAAGGTGAAAATATGATTACCCTTATAATTCTAGGGTGGTTTTTGCATTTATTAGGGAAATTTTGAGATTTAGACCATCTCTAGAATTTGTTGATGAATATTTATGACAAGCTTGACAAGGTTGTTTCTTCTGCTGTAAAATTACTGTATTTGAATGATAATGTTAAAGGGAAAATTTTGAAAATCATACCCTTGTAATTGCGCTAGAATTTGAGAAATTCTGTATTCCTTTGTTAGGAGTTACAGTTAATTGCAACAACTTCATAAGTTTGGGGGTGGTTTAGGATTTAATTGTAAGAGCTCTTGAATTACAAGATATATTTTGTACATTTTTGAAGTTGCAACTAATGAGTTTATAACAACAGAGTTCAATTTCAATGGGTCATAAGTTTTAAGGGATAATTGTCTAAGTTTGCAAGTTTTTGCGTTTTTTTGGTGGGTTTAAGGCATTGATAACGATGGATGTTAGGGAAGTTTTGAAATTTAAATTTGAAGAATTCTATAACTTGTTGATGAATATTCATGATATTTTCGGAATGTTTATGTAATAGGTAGGCCAAGGAAGTTACAGCAATGTGTACAAAGCTCGAGATAGGGAGAGTGGAAAGATTGTTGCCCTTAAGAAGGTCCGTTTTGATACGACAGAACCTGAGAGTGTGAAGTTCATGGCAAGAGAAATTACGATACTACTGAAATTGGATCACCCCAACATTGTTAAACTTGAAGGATTGGCCACCTCAAGAATGCAGTTCAGTCTTTATCTTGTTTTTGATTTTATGCCGACTGACTTGGCCCGAGTTATTTCCCGCCCCGATGTACGGCTTACCGAGCCTCAGGTATGACCTTCAATACTTTATTATGATTACAGTTTGAGGATTGATGGTAATTTGCTTCTGCTTATTAGTTCTGCTGTATTAATTCTTGTTGCAGGTCAAATGCTATATGCAACAGCTACTCTCAGGTTTGCAGCATTGCCATGATAAGGGGATATTACACCGCGATATCAAAGGATCGAACCTGTTAATTGACAGAAATGGGATGCTGAAGATTGCAGATTTCGGGCTTGCCAATTTTTTTGGTCCAAAGAGGCATCTTACCAATCGTGTCGTGACACTTTGGTACTATTAAATCACCACTAAACTAAAAAAATCTAGGTTGATATGTCAGAAACATAGAGTTTATTTATTATCTTTTATATATTTACAATCCTTCATGTGGACTCAAATTTTAATATGATTGACGAAAGATTAACATGTGAATATTAATATTAATTGCTAAGGAAATGGCGAGGATTCAAATATAGGACTTTTTTCTTTAATACTACGTTAAATCATCACCAAATGTAAAAAGTAGAAATATTTTTGACAGGTACCGAGCTCCAGAGCTATTGTTAGGTGCTACTGATTATGGAGTTGGCATTGATCTATGGAGTGCGGGATGCCTATTGGCAGAAATGTTCATAGGAAGGCCAATTCTGCCCGGTCGAACAGAGGTGAAGTTCCATCTCTTTTGGAGCTTCGGTGGAAAGATTCATTATAACTCGAACCATGTTAAACTGTGTTTTGATGTAACATAAAACTAAAGTTTGGAGGTTTGTTTGAAAAATGAATTTACTTGTGTTGAATTCAGGTTGAGCAACTCCACAAAATTTTCAAGTTATGTGGTACGCCATCCGAGGAATATTGGAGAAAACTGAAGCTCTCACCAACTTTTAAACCTCCACAGTCATATCGACCTAGTCTTGGAGAATTGTTTAAGCATTTACCTTCATCTTCTTTAGGCCTTCTGAGCAGTCTACTCGCGTTAGAGCCTTCGTATCGTGGCTCTGCATCTTTAGCCCTCGAGAGTGAAGTATATGATCAAACTTAGGATCTAGATTTATCCAATATAATAGTTAGTTGAAGCATTGTATTGAAAAACATGACTCTTATTCTTGCAGTTCTTTTACACAAGTCCATTGTCATGTGACCTTTCGGGTCTCCCTGTAATCCACAGCGAGCATGATGAACCGAATCCAACAAATCAGCAAAAGTAAGTTCTTGGTTGGCTTGAGATCACTTTATTTTAGACATCCCTTGTAAATAGTATGTATTTAACGGTCTTGCATCGTGATGTACATTGGTAATGAATTTGCATATGAATAATTACTGTGGATAATGGAAACTAGTGGGAAATCCCGTGTTTTTTCAGTTTTAGGCCACAGTAAACTGTATTTACCCAATCAATTTACAGGTCCAGGAATTCTAAAGTTACAAGGCGTTCTCATACACACCGGGAGCATCGAAGGAAAGTTTCAACCACTGAAAAACTGAAAGAAGAACCAAAAATTCTAAAAGAGGTATTTTTTTTTACAAACTTCTCAGCATATCCCAAATTACAGAGCTACTTTTTGAGTTGGTTGATAAGAAAGCAAAGAGTGCCAATTGGCTATACGTTATGACGTTGTTCTTTTAGCTTTCGCAGCAAACAGGTGATGCTAGCGAGCGAAGCGAAGAGCGAGGGAGCACTACGACGAGCACGTCCTCGAGTGTTAACACGGGAGGGCGAAAGGGGCACTCTCACTTCTTGCTATCTCCAATTCCATCTTCTAATAAGAAGTCTTCAAGAACCCAAGGCCATCTTGAAGCTACCAAAAACCTCAACAACTTGCCTCAATTGCCCAAGTCGAGACGGTACTCAACCCTCAATGACGAAGACAACAGCACACATGTCACGAGTCAGGTTCGGAGGTCGGTCTCAACCAGGGATTTCAGGAACTTGGAGCGAAGGGAGCAGTTGAAATTCTATGCTGTTGATGATTAGGCTATATGTAAGATCATATATAACTGTTGGAAAGGTCTTTGATTTTAGATTTATTTTTGTTTGTTATATGTTTTAGTTGTAATATTTTAACTTTTTCTCCTCCAACTAATTCATATGAGTGGAAACTGAAATAATTTGCTGTTCTTAAATAGAGCAACTCTTATCTCTTTGGGAGTTTTGTAATGTTATAAAATAACTTTTACAAGCAAATTTGAGCATAGCCAAACGTTATATTTGGCTAGATCACATGTTCAAATTTCAACATGTACTAAAAAATGTAATAATAAATAAAACAACTGCAATTTTCGAATTTTTTTTAGAAAAAATTATTTATCCTTTTACTTAGAAAAGTAAGTTATTTTCGACCCTTAAATCCTCAGTT